ATATCAAGTGGCCAAAGTATTGGAGCTTCAGCAACAGTCCTTCCCATGAATATTCAGGACTGATTTCCTTTAAGATGAACTGGTTGGATCTCCTTGCAGTCCAAGGGATTCTCAAGAGTCTTCTTCAATACCACAGTTCAAAAGCATCAGTTCTTCAGCGCTCAGCCTTCTTTATGGTCTAACTCTCACATCCATACATGGCTACTGGAAAAACCATAGCGTTGACTATATGCACCTTTGTTGACAAAGTGATATCTCTGTTTTTCAACATGCTGTCTAGGTTTGTCACAGCCTTCCTTCCTGGGAGCAAGTGTCTTTTCATTTCATGGCTGCAGTCACCGTGCACCCTCCCCCATTACTACACCTGGTGCTAGCCTGGTGGGTTAGCCTGGCTACGGTCCATGAGGTCACAAAGAGTTGGACACGACTGAGCAACTAAGCACACAGCACAAGTTAGACACATGTAACAGAGTTTCCTTTTGACTCGATTGTATGGTTCTGAAAGCACTCTGATAAACCAGAATACAGGTATGGTACTTAAGAGTACAAGAGTACCTGGTATAAAGACTTGGAAAACTAATCTAGTTGGAAAATACTTTGATTTGGCTAAATTCCTATTGATAGTGACCAATTATGTCACATAAGGTGACACACTGCTCTGGTTTGCCCAAGACTGTCCCAAATATTTGGGATTTTGGCCATCCAGAAGGGCACAATCGTTCTCAGAGCACAGTGTAATTAGTTGAAATGTCTTTTACGTCTATATAATTAATCAATTTGATTTAGGTCATACCTGAATGGTCTAGTGGTTTTCCCTACTTTCTTCAATTTAAGTCTGAATTTGGCAATAAGGAGTCATGGTCTAAGCCACAGTCAGCTCCTGGTCTTATTTTTGCTGACTGTATAGAACTTCTCCATCTTTGGCTGCAGATAATATAATCAATATAATTTCAGTGTTGACCATCTGGTGATGTCCATGTGTAGAGTCTTCTCTTGTGTTGTTGGAAGAGGGTGTTTGCTATGACCAGTGCATTCTCTTGGCAAAACTCTATTAGCCTTTGCCCTGCTTCATTCTGTACTCCAAGGCCAAATTTGCCTGTTACTCCAGGTGTTTCTTGACTTCCTACTTTTGTATTCCAGTCTCCTGTAATGAAAAGGACATCTTTTTTGGGTGCTAGTTCTAAAAGGTCTTATAGGTCTTCATAGAACCGTTCAACTTCAGCTTCTTCAGTGTTACTGGTTGGGGCATAGGCTTGGATTACCGTGTTATTGAATGGCTTGCCTTGGGAATGAACAGAAATCATTCTGTTTTTGAGATTGCATCCAAGCACTGCATTTCGGACTCTTGTTGACCATGATGGCTACTCCATTTCTTTTAAGGGATTCCTGCCCACAGTAGTAGATATAATGGTCATCTGAATTAAATTCACCCATTCCAGTCCATTTTAGTTCGCTGATTCCTAGAATGTCGACGTTCACTCTTGCCATCTCCTGTTTGACCACTTCCAATTTGCCTTGATTCATGGACCTAACATTCCAGGTTCCTATGCAATATTGCTCTTTACAGCATGGGACCTTGCTTGTATCACCAGTCACATCCACAACTGGGTATTGTTTTTGCTTTGGCTCCATCCCTTCATTCTTTCTGGAGTTATTTCTCCACTGATCTCCAGTAGCATATTGGACACCTACCGACCTGGGGAGTTCCTCTTTCAGTATCCTATCATTTTGCCTTTTCATACTGTTCATGGGGTTCTCAAGGCAAGAATACTGAAGTGGTTTGCCATTCCCTTCTCCAGTGGACCACATTCTGTCAGACCTCTTCACCATGACCCGTCTGTCTTGGGTGGCCCCATACAGCATGGCTTAGTTTCACTGAGTTAGACAAGGCTGTGGTCCTGGGATCAGATTGGCTACTTTTCTGTGATTATGGTTTTAGTGTGTCTGCCCTCTGATGCCCTCTCACAACACCTACCGTCTTACTTAGGTTTCTCCGGAGGTTCGTGACATTGTACAGGAGACAGGGATCAAGACCATCCCCATGGAAAAGAAATGCAAAAAAGCAAAATTGCTACCTCAGGAGGCCTCACAAATAGCTGTGAAAAGAAGAGAAGCAAAAGGCAAAGGAGAAAAGGAAAGATATACCCATCTGAATGCAGAGTTCCAAAGAATAGCAAGGAGAGATAAGAAAGCCTTCTTCCATGATCAATGCAAAGAAGTAGAAGAAAACAACAGAATGGGAAAGACTAGAGATCTCTTCAAGAAAATTAGAGATACCAAGGGAACATTTCATGCAAAGATGGGCTCGATAAAGGACAGAAATAGTATGGACCTAAAAGAAGCAGAAGATATTAAGAAGAGGTGGCAAGACTACATAGAAGAACTGTACAAAAAAGATCTTCATGACCCAGATAATCACGATGGTGTGATCACTCACCTAGAGCCAGACATCCTGGAATGTGAAGTCAAGTGGGCCTTAAAAAGCACCACTACAAACAAAGCTAATGGAGGTGATGGAATTACAGTTGAGCTATTTCAAATCCTGAAAGATGATGCTGTGAAAGTGCTGCACTCAGTATGCCAGCAAATTTGGAAAACTCAGCAGTGACCACAGGACTGGAAAAAGTCAGTTTTCATTCCAATCATAAAGAAAGGCAATGCCAAAGAATGCTCAAACTATCGCACAATTACACTCATCTCACACACTAGTAAAGTAATGCTCAAAATTCTCCAAGCCAGGCTTCAGCAATACGTGAACCGTGAACCTCCAGATGTTCAAGCTGGTTTTAGAAAAGGCAGAGGAACCAGAGATCAAATTGCCAACATCTGCTGGATCATGGAAAAAGCAAGAGAGTTCCAGAAGAAACATCTATTTCTGCTGTGATCATAGTCTTTTCAAATTTTGGTTTTCTCCCTATCTATAACCAGGTGTGGGCTCGCTGGATCCTATAGTACTTCTATGTTTGGTTTTAAAAAATAAACTTCATACTCTTTGCCTATTGGATGGACCAATTTACATTCCCACCAAGAGTGCAGGGGAGTTCCCTTCTCTCCGCATCCTCTGCAACATGTATTGTTGGAGGTTCTCTGAGATGGCCATTCTGACTGGGGTGAGGTGATAGCTCACTGGACTTTTGATTGGCCTTCCTCTAACCATTAGTGATGCTGCGCACCTTTTCAAGTGCTTAATGGCCATCTGTATGCCTTCTTCATGAAATGTCCATTGAGATCTTTGGCCCATTTCTTATTGGGTATTTTTGTTTTATGATATTGAGCTGCTTGAGCTGTCTGTATGTTTTGGAGATGTATTCTTTGTGGGGATCTTTGTTTGAAATATTTTTCCTATACTGAGTGTTGTCTTTTTCTTTTATTTAGGGGTTCCTTAGCTGTGAAAATTCCACTAAGGTTAATTACATCCCTTTGGCCTATTTTTATTTATTGTTACTCTTAAGGTGTGTATCCAAAAGGAACTTGCTGCTGTGATTTACAACAAAGCTTTTTCTGCCTATATTTTCCTCAAGAGTTTTAGAGTGTCCTCACATTGAGATCTGTAAATTTTTTAGAGTTCATTTTTGTGTATGGTGTTAGGGAGTGAGAAGTGGACTATTTCCTGCTGTATCAGCAAACAAGGATCTCATAGTCACCAGCAATTGCAGCCCTCCAGTGAGCCAGTGAGCCCTCAGGGAACTCAGGAAGGAGAAGCACATCTGCTCTCGAGCAGCCGTCAGACCGCAGACAGTCTAAGGCGAGCCCTGAGGGAAGGAAGCTCAGGATGTGAAAACAGGACGCTGGCCCCAGACAGGTGAGGTGCACCTGAAAGGAATGATTTCAGGGAGCCCGGACTCCTGCATCTTCCCCTACACAGAAAAGCACTAAATCCCTTCACTCAGGATATCTGGTTTTCTTTAACAGTAGTCTTTTGATGTTCAGACTACCTGCCCTTCGTTACAGAGTTCTGTGTAACCTGGCTCCTCCCTTCAGCTCCTGGGAGCAGTTCCCTCAGAGTTACCTGAGATGGTGTCTCCTGGGCTTGAAATCCTAAAGTTCCCAATGAATAAAACATAACTCAACTTTTAGGTTGTGAATATTTCTTAAGTTGACAGGAATATTGTAATTTTGTTCCCATTTTCGTTGTTTAAGGAACCTTCACACTGTCTCCATGGGTTTCCCAGGCGGCGCTCGTGGTAAAAAGCCCACCTGCCAACACAGGAAACATAAGAGACATGGGTTCAATCTCTGGCTGCGGAAGGTCCCCTGGAGGGGGGGCGCGGCAACCCACTCCAGTATTCCTGCCTGGAGAACCCCATGGACAGAGGAGCCTGGCGGGCCACAGTCCACAGGACCGGAAAGAGTCAGACACGACTGAAGAGACTTAGCGCGCACGGGTTCCATAGCGGCTGTTTCCGGTTTACATTCCAGCGTTGGTGGAGGAGGGCTCTCATTTCTCCACGCCCGCTCCAGCCTCGGTTCTTCGAGTGTTTGACAAAGGCCATTCTGACCAGTGTGAGGTGACACCTCATTGTAGCTTTGATTTGGATTTCTCTAATATTTAGCAAGATTGACACCATTTCCTGTGATTTTTTTTAAAGGGTATGAGTGAAACCTCTTGCAATTGACTCTTGAACGTTTTGATAAACGTTTTGATAAACGCTCCTAGAACATTCCTTGAAGGCAGGTGTGGTTTACTCGTAACCCCATGGGCCTTCTGAATATTAAGTGCCCATCAGCACAGCTCTCGACGTTGTCGTTATGGAAAATGGCCACAAGGAGGCAGCATTTTTCATGTCCCCCCTCCCCTTTTTGCTTTCTGTGCGATTTCATTTTGATCTCATATTGGTACAGAGTTGATGTCCAGTGTTGTGTTTGTATAAGGTGTACAGGAACTTAATTCAGCCACACACAAACTCATATCTATTCTTTCCCAGGTTTTTCTTCCCATATACAGCAGATCCTAAAAAGTAGTGAGAAGCAAGAGTCAGAAGTCAGAGAAGAGAATTAAAATGCAGCAAGAGGTGGTGGAAGCCTTGGAAACAAGTGGAAAACCCAAGAAATGTAATCCTGGAGAAGCAGAGCTCTACAAATTTAAAGCACGGAAACTGGATTCTGGAATTCTTTACAGTGGGCACATTTTTCCTAAGAAACTGCCAGAGAAGCCACCCACCGTGCCTATTGACTTTGATTTTGAATGGAGAAAAGAATCAAACAGCGAGAAGCAAAGAGGGTATTGCAGGACAAACACTTTAAATATATGCAAAGCCTTGCCCTTACCATATCCTGTTGGGTGTTGTGGGTGTTCCCGATAAGAAAGAAATTCCACTCACTGTCCCCAGGACTCCTGCCTTTGTTTGGAAGAAAAGAGCCCAAACCCACCAAGAGGACGCGGGTGAAGAGCAGACAGGAGTCGTAAGAGCCCAGCAATCGCCCCAAGACGGGTACCTTTGAAGCCCGAAATCCCAGTGAGAACTGAGGGAACGCGCCCTTCTGTTTTGTTACAAAAAACTCACTTACAGAAGGAGAAGAAAATAAAACAGCTGCAGAAAGGGGAGGCGCCCAACTTCTAGGCCCTTCCTTCGCCTCATTTTACCACCATTAACCTGCAGGAGAAGAACATGAAGAACACGGCTCAGGCTGAGTCTTCTGATGGAGCCTGGCAGAAGAGGCGCCTGAAGGCACAGACTTGGGTTCTCTCTGCGCCCACGCGACAAAGAACGCTCCTCCCGGTGTGATGGGCAGAGCAGCTCTGGTTCCCGGCCAGCGTCTGCAGCCAAGTTTGGCGGCAGAGTCGACTGGAGAACCCAGGTGGTACTCACCAGTCAAGGGTTGCTCACTCACAGTAGTTTGTGTGGCTTCCATCCCCCTACGGAGAAGGCACTGGCACCCCACTCCAGTACTTTTGCCTGGAAAATCCCATGGACAGAGGAGCCTGGTGGGCTGCAGTCCATGGGGTCGCTAAGAGTCAGACACGACTGAGCGACTTCACTTTCACTCTTCACTTTCATGCATTGGAGAAGGAAATGGCACCCCACTCCAGGGTTCTTGCCTGGAGAACCCCAGGGCCGGGTGCCTGGTGGGCTGCCGTCTATGGGGTCGCTAAGAATCAGACACAGCTGAGCGACTTCACTTTCACTTTTCACTTTCATGCATTGGAGAAGGCCATGGCAACCCACTCCAGTGCTCTTGCCTGGAGAACCCCAGGGACGGGGAGCCTGGTGGGCTGCCGTCTATGGGGTCGCACAGAGTTGGACACGACTGACGCGACTTAGCAGCAGCAGCAGCATCCTCCTCCCCCTCCTCTGTTTTATGTATAAGTCAGAATATATAGTTGACTTGGTTTGTAATTTATTCACTTGAAGTGTAATTTTTACTGCTTCTATCCTTCACTTTTTATATTTAAAAATAAAGATACTTGATTTAGTTTATAGTTTATGTCTGATTCTTTCCTCTTCTCCATGCAAAATGAATTTGGAGTTAAGGAGCCCTTTGCTGTGAGGGGAGCCTTATTAACCGCCTGACTAGGCAGAGACTTGACTGATGCGTCCCTCACCGAGGCTGTCTGCTGCTTCAGGCCGGGCCACTGTTCAGGCACCTTCTGCCCTTGTTGGTGCTGACGATGAGGGAATGCTGAGCAGGATATGTTTTAAGTCTCCCTGTGACCTGGGCTGGAATCAATATGTTTATCTTACTAAGAATTAACAAAGGCAGTTCGATACTCCTCTCCACAGTGATTCTCAGCATTTACATCTCATCAGCACCATGAATGTTCTCTTTCCTCCGCGTCTTCTCCACCGTTTTCCTTTGTAGACTGAGGATGGCCTTTCAAACAGCTGCAGTGTTCCCTCACTGTGGTTTTATTTGCACATCTCTAACAATTCCTGGTGTGCAGCATGTTTTTATGGGCTTTGATTTTAACTAGTGTGTGTGGAATTGGCTGGAAATTTTCATCTTCACAGTCTACCCAGTTTTTGTTTTCGGTTAGTTGCCCATGGACATTTTTAAAGTGCTGGTATCATTTACAGCCCAGCAGTCCTTGTGAATATGAAGTGTTTTTAAGTGTGGCAGTGAAATAAGAAATAGTTTTTTCTCTTTTGCCTTTTGAGTCCTTCTCTACTTTAACTGTTCCTGAGCTACAGCCAGCATTGATAGTTAAGTCTCCTTCTTTTCAGAAGACTAACCTGTTATGTAAGCTAATCCTGCATCTGTGTGTTTGTGTGTGTGTGTGTGTGTGTGTGTATTAGTCACTCAGTCGTGTCTGACTCTTTGTGATCCCATGGACTATAGTTAACCAGCCTCTTCTGTCCATGAAATTTTCCAAGCAAGAATATTGAAGTGGGTTTCCATGTTCTTCTCCAGGGGTATCCCACACCTATCACCCTCGAACTCTGCATGAGCCATATTTCACATCTATTATCTTTTAATTTTATGCTAGTCACATCCTGATGCTTAACTTTATGGTACTCTCTCTGCAAACCTCCCCTTAAAATCTGTTTTCTCTTTTTGCATTATGGAAAGAAAGCTTCAGTGCAATCTACAAAAGACAATGGCCCCAACTCCTGTGACTGCCTGATGGACCCAAGTTACTGGGCTCCCTGATGCCAGCCTATTGGCTATTTTGAAGCAATGCAAAAAGAAAGAATATAGGATCCTTATATGTTTGCTCTTTATCTCCAACCTCTGACTATGAGCCCCAACTGTGTGATCCCCTCAATTCCCTATCAGGGGAGACACAGTTCTTGAGGCACAAGTCTACTGTGTTCTCTCCTCTTCCAGCTTGGGGATTAAAGCCATCTATTTCCTTAAAAAACATTTCCCCAAAGGTATAAGTTTCCTATGTTCTTATTCCTTTTTGCATTGTTTCAAAACAGTCAATAGGTTAATCTTCTGAAAAGAAGGAAACAGTTACCAACGCAGACTGTAGATCAGGAACAGCAAATGTAGAGAAGGAATCAAAAGGCCAAAGAGAAAAAAAAAACTTTTTTCTTATTTCACTGCAGCATAAGCAATAGCTTTCAAGTTTCTGTAGTGGGAGATGGCCACAAGGAGACAGGATTTCTTCATGCCCTAGTCCTGTTACTACAGTAACCAGAGCCTTAGGGTGACTCCTAGTCCGTGCTTTCTTCTGGCACATGCCGGCAGCCTGTGGCTCATTAACCCTTGTTTTTCTTTTTTAAAGTTAGTGTTTACTCTTTTTGGAGGATAGCTGACTTACAGTGTTGTGTTTGTTGGTGGAGAGATTCTTCATCAGTTATCCCCATACACATTCTGATTCATCTTTGTTTTTTTCACATACACGTTATTATAGAGTGTGTAGTATGCCACCCTTTCTAAAGTAGGTCCGTGCCGATCCTATATTCTATATGTATTTGTGAGGATAAATGAGTCCCAACCTCCTAATTTATCACTTCCACCCACCACTCTCCTTCTGTAAACATGTTTGTTTCCTGACTGTGCCTGTATTTCACTTTTATAAAATAGCTCATTGGTATCAGTTTCTCCTTCTGAAGTACTTCACTTACTATGATTGTTCTACTTCTAGATTATCCCTGCAAATGGCATTATTTTTTCACGGTTGAATCATATTCCATTCTATACATATATGATTTCTTTCTTCATTCATCCGTCCATGTACATTTTGGTTACTTCCACGTCTCAGCTGTTGTAAATGCTGCATGCTTGTGTGCGGTGTTGTTCAGTCGCTACTTCTATCCTGCAAAACCCAGACAGTCCCCATGAGACACTCAGTCCCCTTTCCCCTCCCTCAGCCCCTGGCACCCACTATCCTGCTTTCTGTGTCTATGGAGCTGATTGCTCTAGGTGCCTTGTATGAGTGGACTCAAGCATCATTTGTTTTTCCATGTCTGCCTTATGTCACTGAGCATAATGTCTTCAGGGTCCATCCACGCTGTAGCCTCTGTCAGAACTGCCTTCCTTTCAGGCTGGACAACATTCATTGTGTTGCTGGACCACGTTCTGCTTGTCCATTCTTCTGTTGAGGGACAAACTGAATATCTTCATTCATCTCTCACCTCTTGTAGTATTTGTGGAATAACTTCAGAAAGTCCCATGATCTAAAAGTCATTCACCATTAACTACTTTATAAACTTTTTTATTTTGGAAACCATCAAAGCTCAGAAGGGAAGAATGCACGTGAGCTTCACTTGTGTTTAGAAATGAGCACTTTAGGGTAATCATTTTATTCCCTGTGTGTGTGCTATGCGTGTGTGCGTGCCTGTTGGCGGACACGTGCTATTTGTGTGCACAGCGCTTATGTGTGTGGCCTGGTAGTGTGTGTGTGAGTGTGTGTGTGTGTTTGTGCTATGTGTGTGTGCTATGCGTGTGTGTGCGCCTGCTGGCGGACATGTGCTGTGTATGTGCACGGTGTAGGTGCACAGCGCATATGTGTGCAGCATGGGAGTGTGTGTGAGTGTGTATGAATGTGTGTGTGCGCGCTATGCGTGTGTGTGTTTGTGCTATGCGTGTGTGTGCGCCTGCTGGTGGACACGTGCTGTTTGTGTGCATGGTGTAGGTGCATAGCGCTTATTTGTGCGGCGTGGGAGTGTGTGTGTGTGGTAATGGGACATGGGGTGGGGGCTTGGGGCCCAAAGTGGGCAGGCGGGCGCAGGTGGGAGCTCCCCGCAGGTGCTCTGCTCAGATGGCGTCTGTGCCCCACCTGTGCCCGCGTTCTCTGCTTGGATGCAGCATGGTGCCCTGTGGACATCAACCGCGGTATGAAGTCCCTTGACCAGGAGCCTAGGAGGTGTCAGGCCCACCCCCCTACCCCCTCCCCTGCAGGGAAGCAGTACCTGAGTGCACTCCCTCCCTAACTGACCAGCAGGATGGACGGATCAGCTCTCCCCGTGGACACTGCAGGACTGTCCTGCCTAGGCGACCCGGGCAGCGCCCCCTGCTGGGAGCCCGGAATACTGCCGCCGGGCCACTTCTGGTCAGTCCTGCCTGGGTGACCCAGGCAGCACCTCCTGCTGGGAGCCCAGGACGCGGCAGCCGGGCCACTTCAGGTCTGTCCTCACAGGATGCTGGGCTGCGCTCCACCAGGTTCCTGGCTCTCCCCGGGCCCTGACCACCACGTGGCCGCAGAACCTGCTCACAGTTTTGTTTTGCCTGCCGAAATGTTTAATGACAAAGCTTTTGTTCCGTTTTCTGATGTGGGTGAAGTGTGGAGCCAGTGATGATTTCTTCTTCAAGAAAGGTACGTCCTAGTTCTCACACGCGGGTGAGCCCCTGTCCAACGATGAGAGACCCGGGGGTGTGACCTGTGCTTCCTGGGAGCTCAGCCCTAGGCGACTTT